AATACCAACAGCCAGTGCCTCAAGTACATCCCCTACTGCCCCATTCAGCCGATATTTAGAGCCCTCATAGAATAGACGCCGAAGATTAGCATCCGGAATCAGATCATAGTTGGCGGAAACAACATGGCCGTCAACCAAATCGGTGCAATTAGGAAAGACCCGGCGACATGGACAGTCAGCAGCAGCAGGAAGGCATAGGCCCGGAGTAACACTCAAGGCAACCTCCGTAAAGTTACAAAATTGCACCCTTGTCGGGGGTACAAGTTTATCACAAATACGAATAGTGCTGGCTGCATGGGGGTCCGGGTGCAGTGCACACACATCTGGAGAGTGCAACACCTGTCGCAACTTTGTGACGTTCAGAACCTCGTGCATATGGACAATCCTAATATAGTTTCCGAAGCTATCACGGGGCCGGGCAGTATATCGCTGTCGGACATGTTGAGATTGTCGAATAAGACATTCAAGTTCACGGATGTCCGCGGTCATCGCAGAATTAGGAACATTTATATACAGTCACTGCAGCAAACGAGCGCGGCGGGCAGGTGTAGCCTGCTGAAGAAAAGCAGCAACTTCAGGCCAAGCACCTGCCGCACCTAACGTCAATAAATGCCGCAGAGTGGTTCGCACTGCTAATTGAGGGCCCGGGCTAATATCAATATTAAAGGCCCGAGAAGATGAAGGATCAGGAGAAGGAGCAGCAGAGTGAGAGGAAACAGCAGAAGAAGGACCAACTTGCCGCCAGTGATCAGGGCGTGGCTGCCGTCGAACAGGCGGTAATCGAGACATAGGGAGGACTGCATTAAAACCCGAAGGATGCAGGGTACGAAGCTGTCGAACCCAGAACCCTTCTCGAGGTGAAGCCGCCCGTCGAAAAAGGTCATGATCAATCTCACCATGATTATTAATGTAGAGCACACGATCAAAGCGTTCAAGTGGCCAAACAGCAAAATTAAAAGGAGATTGTTGTCGCATAACGTGATAAAGGTGCCGATGACGATAATCGGCAGCAGAGTGTCGCACATGCCAATGCTCCTTCAAACGTTGATGCGCAGTATGAATTGTCTGACCAACATACAAACGCCCAGAGGGTATATGAACAACAGCATAAATAACTCCAGTAGCAGAAAGGGGATCATTACCTGGTTGGAGGAGCTGCTGGTCAATACCTCTCAACTGCAGTTCAAAGCGCTCAGTTGCGATGGCAGCATCTAGCTGTCGCAACCGCTTCTTATGCCACGTTCCTGCAGAATACAAATCGGTATTCCAGCGAAAGTGGGCAAGCCAGTCAACACGTTGGCGGTTAGAGAAACTGCGACGGTGTGACCGAAGAGCGGGAAGCGGTGCTGCGCCTGTCGCGCCACCAACAGGAAGAATGGAACCCGTGTTCAACACCCTTTCCTGATTCTCAGCTTGTATTGTGCTCATCATGGGTATCGTATTTCTGACAACCAAGAAAAATGTGTGACGTGGTCGACAAAAATAAAAAAATAAAAATAAGGAGAAGAAGAAAAGGTGAAGCCACAGTCCAGGGTTTTAGGCCCATCGGCTCAGCAGGGGTGGGCTGCCGACGTCCCTTGCAAGAGGCACTCGCCACAAAGTCTGCCCAGCAATGGCACGGCTAGTATATAGAATGCCTCCACCTGTGAGTGTGCTCAGAGCAACCACCCTAGACGCCGGGCACAGCAGGACTAGCTATCCTATTAGGAAGGAGTGTCCGACCATCACCGGGTGCTCTGTGTACAAGGTTTAGGTCAAGGAGAACGTCCTGCAAGGGTGAGATGAGCAGGATACTCCGCACCTGGGTCTGGCACACCTTGGGTGGGGAGCTAACTATACTCACTACGCGGAACGAAAGGGAAAGAAACCGCGCCCTTGCGGTGACCGCCACCACTGGACATAGGCTTCTTACACAGGACGAAGAAAAAGAAACCACAGCATCGCATCCCTTATCATCCCTTATCAGATTGCGCAAGAAAGGCTGTAACACCGTCCAAATTTAACAAAAGAAAACACAAACGGAACCGCCACAGAGGGCCCGCAAAATTTAAAATGCCATTGCCCATGAGGGAGAAATGGCTGGCAGGGAAGGAGGTAAGGGGGGCAGAGACAGAAAGCAGAAAGGAAAATATTTTACTTTTTTCACAAGAATATCATATATATAGTGTCACAAACAGAACTGCCCGGTAAACCTTAGGCAGAGGGAGAGAAGAGGACAACAAACGAGGGGCTGTGACAAACTGTTTCGTCGGAGTTTCACCGACTCATCAGGAGGCTGAACCCTCAACAGTCTGCAGAATCCCCTCACTG